CTCTGTCACAGACCCACTCAGATAAGGCCCCTTTTCATTCTTTTTTCACCTCCCTGAACTTTATCCCCACATGAAACCCGCCTCCTAGTATCACCTTCCATGAGAGGCCAACCCAGTATGAGGTCATCATCTCTGTCCCACTGTGGTTCCTCATAAAGCCAATCTGAAGAAACTTACCTGTTGCTCATATTCACTCTGAGCTGATAGTCCCTGATATTCTTCTTCTTCTTCTTTTTATCCAAATCAAAATGAATTCTCAAGGCTACCATAAAGAGAACATGATATGTAAGTCACATCTTATGGTGAATCTGGGATATGACTCTTGTCAAAGCCATGTGCCTATAGGGGGCCCATTATCAGAGATGTGCCCAGATTGGATCTGGGTAACCAGAAAATGTGTCCTTGTTGTTGAGATTTCCAACTACACTTTACCCTTCTACTTGGCAGCCAGACAGCCTCAGGAATGTAAATTCATGCCGTTTTGAATGTGGGGGAAGGTGAGGAAACTAAGCCTGCCTGCTGCTATTCTGATTACAGCATTTGTCGCTGGGAGAGACAGCTCTGAGATAGATGCTATTTTTCTCCCATCTCAGGAAAATGGCTAGGGCTGTGCTTCAGAGAAGGCCAAGGGGCACCTACAAGTGACAATTTCCGCTTAATCTCCCAGCAGGTTTCCAAGTCAGTAGTCATTCCGATGTGGCATCACATTTGACCTATTTATTCCTCCTTGTTCCCCTTCTCCCAGCTCCTGCAAAAAATAAGGCATAGAAACAGGACAGCGCAATTGTGTTGCCTTTTTTTCTCTTAATTTGTTGAAATTGTCTCTGGGCAGAAGAAGGGGGTGGGGGCTTAGAAACCAGATGGTTGTAGCTGGAGTAGAAGCCTACTACTGAGTAGCTTTCGGATGCTCAAATCTGGTGGCCGTTGATATTTCCTTGCAGGGAGAAGGAATGAAGCAATAGAGTGGTGGCCAAAGATTTCCAGCAGACTGATCTCCACTGTCCTGTTCTCTCCATCCTATGTCCACACACACGTAAAAGGCAGTCCCTTTCCCTTTAATTCTCCAAAGCACCACCAACCATAGGCTATCTTAGACTTTTCTTGAAAGTTGGGCAGTGGGTATAGAGGGAAGCCAGTGGTAATAAGAGGGGTTTATATCACAGGACTTAAACCATCTACAAATATATATTATCTGCCATTCTTTAAAGCCCCTTGGCCTCTCTGCTACCTTCCTTCTCGTCAATCCGACCCTCCTTACCACTTACCAAATCCCAGGCAAGTGATGTATCTCCTCAGTCACTCCACCTCTCTGCACACAGGAAGAGAAAGTTGAGACAGAGGAACAGGAGAACAGTCAGGGAGCTGGCTAAGGATTAACCTCTTTTATCTTGTATTTGTGGAGATTCTGCCAAAAGAAGTGCCCTTTCACTCTGACTCTGGACTATCTAACTACCTAGAAGATAGTGCTAAGAGGTCTGGTAGTGGGAGCTGATGCCTCCCTCTCCCAGTCTTTGATATGGAAAACTGACTCTCAATCTTTAGTGAAATACTATGCAAATGCAACTGAATATCTATTCAGATATCCACCTGTTCGTGTGTGTGTGTGTGTGTGTGTGTGTGTGTGTGTGTGTGTGTGTGTGTGTGTTTTTCCTTTCCCAACTAAATACATGGTGTCTTTTCCAAGACTACTTCTCCAACTCTCTGACACCAGTTAGGTGTCCTATAATTCAATTCATTATTGACACTACTTACCTGGAGTTAGCAACATACTTAAAGGTTTAAGAGCTCAGTGTTACAAGACTGCCTTCACTTCAGAGGCCAGTCACAAGTATGGGGTCTCAGGTTACCCACTCTTCTGTCCAGCTTGGCTAGAAATTCAGGGGCTCCTACACTTCCTTCTCAGGTCTGATAAATCACTACAATGAGCCACAAATTCAGGAAAGAGTTTTACTTACTATTACTAGTCCATTAAAAGGATACAACTCAGGAACAGCCAAATGGAAGAGATGCATAGGGCAAAGTGTGGGAGAGGGCACAGAAATTCCATGTCCTTTCTGGGAGTGACACTCTTCCAGTACTAGATGTCTTCCCCAACCCAGAAGCTCTCCAAATTCCATTGTTGTTTAGGGAATTTTATTATTTTTCTTTTTTATGCACACAGTATTGATTAAATAATTGGCCATTAGCAATTAACTCAACCACAAGTGCCTCTCCCTTCCCCAGAGATTGGGACATGGGGCTGAAAGTTACACGCTTCTGATCAAGGCTTGGTCTTCTGGTGACAAGATGCTCCTATCACACATATAACTCAGGTAACTTCAAAGGGTGTTAGAAGCTCTGTGCCAGGAACTGGGGACAAAGACCAAATATCTTTCTTATTATAGTACCCCATTATGTTTATATATTCTGTAAAAAAAAAAAAAAAAAATTCTGGAGACACTCTCCTTAGAATATTAGCCTTCCTGACTATTTTTGGGTCTGTCTGTGCACTCTCCATATTCCCTTAACAGACTGAACAGGAACCTCTGATTTGTTCTTCATTATGCTTTTCAAAATATAACTAGTTCCCCTGTGGCTGACCCCTTTATCTCCTCTTCCAAACAAACCATTCATAGGAACAAGCATTCTCAGGGCTCCAGCATTGAAGGTCCGCACTGCTCCCTCTTCCTCCCAGAAGGATCTTAGGAGAATGTCAGTGGCAGGGGTGAACTTAAATGACTGAGGATGTCACACCCGCCCCTTTCCATGAGGGCATCCTCTCCACTCTTCTGGGCCACCTCCTTTGGCCTCTGGAGTTACTGATATCCCCTGAAGGAGAAGAAGGTCGTTTTGAGTGCCCAGGGAGGCCTGTTGACTCATATTTGTTCGAGTCTCTACTGGGAAACTCTCAGAGCTGGATCCAGAGACCCTGGAAGGCAAGATCAAGAACTTTACTAGTTGAAATGGGGTAGGGTTGAGGGCCAATTTGTGTGAATGCGCTGTGCATTGTGCTTTCCTGTCTCTCCTCCCCCTCCCCCACCCCATGAACAAAGACCCCCAAAATAAAAAATTTTAAAAAACCCCAAACAGAAACAACTCAGGGAAACCAAGCATTGCTTTTAAGTTATCGGGAGATCTTCCTATCTTCCTCTTGAGGCATAACTTCAGTCCCTCCTGGGCCCCAGACAGTCTCAGTCTCAGATGGTGAGGGCCTCAAGCCCCCACTGGTTTATTTGAAACCCGTGTTTAGGTCCCAGCATGTGGCATGTGCTCCACTCTGATGACACTTTTCGTTGCTAATAATAGAGCAGATGAAGTAATATTGCAATTGATGCTCCCGGGGATTTGATTGGATAAGTGCATAAAGTGTGGAGGGGGAAGAGGGTTGTGTGGACGGATCACATTAGTATTCCCGTCCTATCAATGTGCGGGCCAGCGAACAACGTCAGCCGGACCGATTCTCTGCGTCTGCCAGTCCCGCCACGGATTCATTCGGGATCCTCAAACAGACGAGCCCTGAGAGACGAGGGATCCGGGCGCCCGATTGGAGCCCATTGCCTGCGCTGGGGACGGCCAGTCCTTCCAGGCCCGGCGACCGTGGAGGGAGGGGACGGACCAAGCGAGCGCGCTGCGGGAAGACACTGAACGCGAGCGACACCCCTCTCCGCCCCCCACCCTGCAGCGCAGGCTTTGAAAGCTGCTCCCCCACCTGAATGGAAACTCGGGGCCGCCGGGCGGCGCGTTCCTCCTCGCCCAGCCTCGCGATCCATGCCGAGAGGAAGGCGCTGCGAGCCCGCGCCAGCGCCCAGCTCCCGGGACAGGGCCGGCGATGCTGCTGAGCAGAACTTGATCGCGCCCCTTCCTCGCTGCTAGTGGAAGCGATGCTGCACGGCGCAGCCGGCGCCTCCCCGGCTCTCCTGCAGGCTGAAGGTTACCGACCCGCGCGGCCAGCCCCAGCCCTGTGAGCGGCGCGCCTCGGCTCCCGGCTCCGACTGCCTGGCGGCGG